TTGAAAGTTTACACGTTTTATGGAAAATAAGCTTTTGATAAAGTTTGTTAAAAGAAATTATTTGACAAAAGGTATAACCTTTTCAAATATGGTGTATGCTTGTCCGAAGAGGTGTAAATGACCATAGAAAAGATGTAAGTTTTGTTTTTCACTAAAGGTGTAACTTGAAATAATAAGTGTAAATTTTATGAAAAATGTTTTTCCACAAAATGTGTAATTTTTCAAGAAGTTGTAAATATTTCCGAGAGAATGTGTAAATTTTTAGGAAATGTGTAAAATTTAGGAATAGTTGTAAACTTTGTGAGCTTTTACAAAAGGTATAAGTTCCCAAAGAAGACCAATCATCAAAGCTGAATGTTTCGTTTTTACAAAAGATATAAGTTCCTAAAGAAGACCAATCCCAATAAAACTGAATGTTTCGTCTTTAGAAAAGATATAAGTTCCAAGGTGTAACTTTTATTAAGAAAATTAATTTAAAGATATAAGTTCCAAGGTGTAACTTTTATGAAGAAAATTAATTTATAAATGATGTCAGTTTTCATTAAAAGGTGTAAGTTGTCAGAACAAGTATAAAATTTTCAAAAATGCCGAAGTGTTCATAAGAGGTGTAAGTTCCGTCGGCCCGTCCGTCTCTCTTCCATCTCGGACCTCTCTCTTTGTTTGTCTTTCTCTCTGCCCGTCTCTCCGTTGTTCCATTTCCTCGTAGGTGTAGGGTTTTACAGAGAAAAATATTTGAGGGCCAAGCTTAAGTTCTTGGGAAGGCTAGCCATGGAAGTGGATGCATAAATACTTTTTTTAAGTTGATTTTTGTCGGTGGAGCACAACCGGAAGGGTTAATCGAGCACCACCGTCGATTTTTCTGATCCGGTTGGTATTTCCTTTATTTTGTGTTGGTACATTATCTATCTCCTTGTTTGTCTTCTATCATTCGCATATACCTTCACACCCAACCCGAAATCGACCCAATAGGAACTGTTCTGTACTCTATTTTTGTATTTTGTGCTATTCGAATAGGAACTCTTCCCTCTGCTAACCGAAATGGACCCAATAGGAACTGTTCTGTACTCGATTTTTGTATTTTCTCCCTTTCGAATAGGAAGTCTTCCCTCTGCTATCAGTGCTGCAAGTTGAACATAGGTATCATAGTAGTTAGCAACAAGCATAAAAGGTGTTCTGCATTTACATGGCAAACTTGTTAGGTTGGGTTATATATAACGAAAGAACACTTTAAAAAAAAATTGTGTAATCTTGGCACGGGAAAAACAATTTTTCTTTTCGAGTAGCCAAAAAAGCAAAAATAAGAAACTCGATAAACAAACAATGACTAATCTTGTTTCCGCAACGGGTAGCACACTCGATTGAATTCTGCTTTCAATTTTGTAGTACTCGGTGATTTTATATTGCCGAAACTTATGTTTAGAAACAATCTGTGTTATACGGACTCTTCAAAATAGATCAAATACCTGTGTCGGACACCTGAGAGTCGGACAAGGGTATGGGATATGTGTCGGATACTTTTCAATGGACACTTCTTATATAATTGTATATAACACAATTATTATATGTGCAAATTATTGTGAAATTACTATAAATGTGATTTTGACACTGTGAGTTACATATAGTACCATTTTATGTCACATATTAGATTAAAAATATGACATTTTTTCCCCACACCGCGTACCATTGAATGTAGGGTTAAGATTTAATGAGTCAGACCTGTACATACATACCGCACCCGGCACCCGTACCCAAGTCCTTGTAACACGGTAAACAACTCTTTCTTTCAGTGCTGAAGTTCATGCATAGTTGACGGTATTCAACTTAAAACATAGGAAAGCCAATTGAAAGAGTTGAAATGAGGATGACGATTTCCAAATTTTGTAGAGAGCTATTCGTTCCCACACCCAATTCTGAATCAAGAGTTGAAGCGTTCACTTTCATGGCTAGCCTTTCCAACAACTTAAGCGGCCAGAGACGATGGCTGAAAACCAATACCTTCTCCCCACCTGAGTCGGACAAGCCTAACAGATTAAGGAAGAAGTTTGCCTTCAGTCCTTCTCTAATATCCAACTTTTCTAAGATGTGATCCATCCGGGCATCATCAATGCCCTCTGTTTCTGTGGTTGACGTGTCTGCAGGTGAACTCTTTAGGAGGGATCTCAACTGTGCGTGCACATACAGTGTGCTCCTATCCCAGGTGATGTTCAACTGCTTAACGAAGTTGTTCAGTTCTTCAACTTCACGAACTGTCGTAAGGGTGAGGTGAAGAAATTCAGAAAAGTCAACAAGCCCAGGCAATTCACGAAGAAAATCTCATTCGTAGAAATGGACAACCTTGCCTGTCATTGCACGTAACTTTTGAATGACGGTTACCTTTCTCTTGAAGTCATCATCTTGCATATATACATAGTAGTTACATTTCAAGAGGAAGGTAGCTGTCGTTCATGAGTTGCGGGCTGTCTGGATTTTATTGAGCGAGTTCATGAAATGCGTACTCTCATTTGTCTTTTTTATGACCTTCATGCAGAATGAGAATGGATGGGTACGTTAGTAATATTTGTTGGCAGGCAGTGGCAGTCTTGCTTGTTTCATTGTCACATACAATTGATAAAACTTGCTTGTACTCCCGGAAAAGTATTCTTCTCTAATCTGCCCACTGTCTGAGCACCCGAAGGTAGTGGAGCATGGGCCAGGATGCAGCCACCTCGATTCTCTGCAACCAAGTTGCTCAGTAGGAAATTGAAGCCCTTAACTTGATGGCTGGCCTTTCCAACAACTTAAGCGGCCGGAGACAGTGGCTGAAAACCATGTGCACCGAAGTCTGCAAAGGTCATTACGTACTTCATGTTTTCGTAAATGCATTTGGCTAGGTCCTGCTTTGCTGACATTGTTGGTTGTATTTTTGTATTAATTTAAGGGTAAAAAATGTGCAGGGTAAAAGGCAACTCCGCATATCATTGAAGTCAATTGTTGAGCTAGTTAACCGGTTCAACAAAGCACAAAAGCAAGCAGTCATTGACATTGGGTTTGCTGGCCTCCTGGGGATGAAGTGTACACGTATAGATCACGACTTGTGCGCATGGTTGGTACAGAACTTCGATCCTGACAGTAGTTCATTGAATGTTCATGGTTGTCAAGTCAGGCTCACGTGTGAGGCAGTTAATGTTTTATTGGGAATACGGTGTGAAGGCGATGATGTGCAGTTGGCTGGGTCATTAGAAGCATATCCCAATATCTACGATGAGGTTGGAGTTGTTAACGGAGTCATTCCTTTGAACAAGTCGAGACTTTATCTGACCGAGACTGATGGTGTGGAGGACGAGTTTCGACGGAAATTTGCGCTGTACGTGTTGGGGGCCATGTTGTGTCCTACCACAATGACCGGCTTGAAGCCATCGTTCATTCATGCCGTGAAGGACGTGAATCGTATGCGAGCTTGTAATTGGGCAAAGTTGACACTGCAATTCCTTCACAACGGTGTTCGCAAGTACAAAGGTCATCACGGTGCAACTGGATGTGTTTTCCTGCTAATGGTATGCCAATAACTTGATTTTTTTTTCCATTCCCCCCTTCATGTGTTTCATGCATTGTTCTATCATGGTTCAACAAATTGGCCTTGATTGGGACATACAATGGTACCTGCTTTGTGAGTACGACAAACAACACTCTTCCTGACCAAGCATGGTACTCGCAGAAATATATTTTTTGCGGCTACCGTCATGAATTTAAGAACAAAGAGTACAGGGCAAAAAGTATGCCGAACCTCAATGGAGGAACCAATTAAAACTACGTTGCGAAGAAGGGAACATGTACATAAATTTTTTTTCTTGGTTTCATCAATAAAGTCCTTGGTGTGCTGTACATTTTTTTCCCCAAAAAACATTGCATGATATGTGCCTATAAAGTTGACAGCATCCTCAACAAAATCGGTATTCTATGTACGTTCCGCTGCAAAATTGAGAATAATGAATGTCATTGTTATTGAATATAGTTCATTTTTGTGGGAAGAACAACTTAATTATGGTGTGCCCCTTAATGTCCATAGCTGTTGTACCTTGATTGTGTTTGTTTGAGCTCGACTACGGCGCGGTCCACACCTCGGCTTCATGATTGCGGTGATACCCAAATACGGGAGACGCTGCGACGCATGAGAAGAAAGCAAAATTTCCCAACAATTGCGGTAAGCACTCCTGCCACTGTGTACATTTCACACCATCGACCCACTTGTCTTCAACATACAATGTCAGACTTCATTTATTCGTTTCTATGATTAGGTGGAGTTTGATTACAGTAATGCCGATGATGCTGACATGGATGCATGCCATGTCAAGAACCAACAAAAAGGACAGTACAATGAAGTCTGTATGAGCAATTTGGAGTCCGACATTCGCGAACTGAAGGAAATGATGAAGCAAGTTCTCCACAACCAAACAGATTTAATGGAGATGTTGCGACATTTCGAAGGCAAGCAAGTTGTTCGCAATGACAAGGTAATCCATCCAAGCATTACGCAATTTTCACACAGTTGAGCCACATCATTTGAAGATGGTTTATAAGACTAAGTTCACGAATGTGTATGTATGATTAGGTGGAAGGCAATGATGTGTGTATCATTAACCTCTCCTCCAGTGTTGCTCAACTGAAGGAAATGCTGAAGCAACTGCTTTAACGTTTCAGTTTGGGCTGCAACAAACCGTTCACTGAACAAACCAATTTACGTGAACTGAAGCAAATGCTACACCACCTCATCGAAGGTATATTCTCTACACCGCAACCGGCAGGCGTGGCCAAACAAGGTGTGGACACTGCTGCTGGAGTCGAGGCGCATGACGATGGCGTGGTCAAACCATTTGACGAAGTTAACCCAATGGAGTGTAATATTTCAAATGTACAAGGGGTGGATCACCAACAACAGATTTTGAAGGGAACCTTCGCAAGGGACAAAAGTCATTTGCATGATGGGCACAAGCTAAACATCGAAGAAGGTGGGGACAACAACAATGGAGTGTAATATTTCAGATGTACAAGGGGTGGATCACCAACAACATATTTTGAAGGGAACCTTGGCAAGGGACAAAAGTCATTTGCATGATGGGCACAAGCTGAACATCGAAGAAGGTGTTGAAGACAACAAGAAGGGAGGCCTTCAGTCAGGGGAAACATATGAAACTGAAGATAAATACAGTCCTGAGCTTCAGTCAGTGGGCGTGAAGAACGTGGCGTGCGATGTGCATACTTCTCCTACTAAGCTTGGCAAACCATTGGGAGCAACTGGAATCGTTAGAGGAAGTGCAAAGGGAAGACGAAAAGGAAAAGGAAAAGGAAAAATGCGCGAAAGTGGAGTTCAAGCCACTGAGGTCGGGGATATGCAATTGTGCATCGATAGCAAAACAAATAGTGGAGTTGACGACATCAGTTCACCTGTGGATGTTGATGGTGTGGACAACGTGAACAAGGTACAAATACTGCCTTTAATGCCCCACAAGTTCTAAATACCCAATTCATGCCCACATCAATAATGTGAATCAGTAATTTTACAATCATCTGTGTTGTATTGTACTAGTTGTCAAAGAATTGCATGTTTGCAGTTATGACTGCTGCCATATGTTAGTACACATTTCTAACAAACTCCGCACCAAACATCACAAGTTGGGAAAACTCTGAGGCTCACAGTTTTTACATCATTTTACATTCTTTTTTATGACTACCGACCTTGTAATGCAAGCTTCAATTTTTTTATGAAATGTGTACTGTTAGTTGGCTGTTTATTTTTGTAGGACTCGTTGACGATGTTGGACAGCGAAGGGTTGTTATCGGCGGAGGAACAAAAACTTCTTCACTATGTATTTGACGATAGCAAAAATGAAATGTATTGTTTCATTTACTAGCAAATTTTAAATGACAGTCCACTGTAAAATAACTATCGTTCTAAGGATCATTTATTGCTTGTAGGGACATTGTTGTTTCCATGAATCTTCATGGACGGGCATGTGAAGTTGGCACCCGGCGTGACATGCGCTCGCTCAAACCAGGGTCGTGGCTATCCGACACTGTAAGTGTTGGCTGCACAAATATGAATCTGCGTTTTTTAGTACCCCTCAACTCAGAAACCTTTCTAATCAACTTGCCTTGTGTCTTGCATACAATGTTCCAGCCAATCAACTTGGTGGTGGTGCAATTGACTAATCGACAGAGGGATTTACACAATGACGGGAGGCACACTGATTGGTTCTTTCCCGTATATCTGTCGGTAAGTAAGTGTTTAAAGCTACGTTGTGTATTGTGTATGACATATTTTGACAAATGTTTCCGTCAATGACCTTTACGCATTACACATGCAAACTTTGATTCTAAATAAAGATATGCAACCTCTGGACCATGAACATATCGTCACATCATTTTTCGAACATGACAGATACACTGGTACGATTGATGCATGCCAGAGGGTAATATCAATGTTCATCCCGTTATATTAAAACGAAAATATGTAAGCCATTACATGTTTACATGGCCTCTAAACAAGGTCTGCCGTTGTGTTTTCGTGTAGATTTACGTGCCTTTCAATTACAGAGGAGTGCATTGGTTGTGCCCTAGAATTAATATGGTGGACCGTGTAGCCTACCTATTCGACTCAGTCCCATCCAACCGACCAAACAAAACGAAGCTAAATGTAGCTAAAATTTTAGTATGTCCTTCTGGTGCATTTCTGAACACTACAAAAAACTTGAACATCCTTTACGTAAACCAACTTCAACCTTGTGGAACAGGTTCAAACTATGCACGACTTGCTGCAACTACACTTTCAAAATGATTATGTTACAGAACAGCGGTAGTTTCCACCGCTGGCATGTTAGATGAGAGGCCAGTACAACAACTGAGACGAGTAATCACAACCTCCCTCACATTAATGTCTATGCTTGCATGACTGACTTAACGAAACCTATTAAGTATTGACGACAACTTTAATGTCAAATTATTTTGTAGCACGATTTGACTGTGGGATTGTCGTCATCAAAATTCATGCAGCAACCTAATTTAAGCCCCGTCCAACAACCGTACATTCTACCGCTAATTTCCATGTCAATCAATCCTTCCTTGTATGTCCTGCAATTTTTTAACTGATTTGTTTATGGATCTTTCTGTACAAGTTCGCTCCCTCTGTGTGTCATAATTGTTGGTTGACATCGTTATGGATGTCAATAATGCAAAGATCGCAGAGTACGGGAGTGCCTTCATATGAGGCAATGCCACAAGCCTAGGCCAGTGATGGGAATGTTGGCTGCCAGTACGCTTAGTAATTTGGGTGGCAATAGGACTTAACTAATTTTTTTATTCTTTGATTTCATATGGATGTAATATGGTCTCCCAGTATTGTTTTTGCTGGACGATGTAAATATGGACCAACTGCCAAAGTGCAAGTCAATGTAAACATGGATCAAACATGTCGATGTGGCTACTGACTTAGTACTAATTTTTTACGCATGTTTCTTGTTCGGATGAATGCGACGTGAAACTGTATATAATTTACGGCTGCTTTTGTTACCGAAGTTAATTTTATAATTTAATTACAAAAAAGGGAAAATTAATTTTCAAAAATGAAAGAATACTACATTATGATTGAAAAACTCAATACTCTTCGTGGGTAAGTTATAATCAGAGCCCATTAGCACATATTGACTCTAGCCAAAACAAAACTTTCATGGCTTACAGGGAAGGTTAAAAAAAAAAGAAATCAAATCTACATATCTGCTGCATCATCAGAGCGTCTTCTGAAGAGTTGTCTGTACTGTCTGATTGCACTGTCCTCATTCCATTGTCTTATCAAGACTTCGCTTCGTCCGCCGTCAATTTGTCATCAGTCAGCCAGATCAACGTTCTGTGCTTGATAGCGCCGACTTGCCGCTCCAAACTTTGAGACAACCGTGTGTCCACTTCATTCAGCCTTTCATAGATAGCTTGCAACTGCTGGAATACAGGAGCAACATGTGCTTCAACAATAGCTTCAATCTTGCTCAAATCAAACATTTTGTAGGAATATGTATATGGTTTATTTTGCTGACTACTTTTTTGAAGGAATGTACAGATTCATAATATTACACAACACTATGCTGTAAGTATTTGTAATATATGGTACATGACTTGTATGTTTGCAGAAGACCTCATGCATTGTGACATACATCGTATTAATTTCTCAAACTGGCCGAATTTATCTTGCAAAAATTCGTTCCTTCTTGCATGCACCAAGTCATCCGTTCAGTACCCCTGATCGTCCATTATTTGGCATTTCCAACACACATGCATTGTACCTTCCATCAGTACTATCCCACTGTCATTGATTTCCACACCCACAGTTCATCATACATTCTCATTCGTCATTTGTATTTGTGCCCCAACCCAATTACATGTCTACTCATCCATAAAGGTTAGCAAAATTGCTCTTATCAGATACATATGCCTTTCCAATTGCACCGAACCTATTAAATGAAATACCCGCAGTCATTAAGTTGCTTTTACGCAGTTTGGGTAGGTGTTGCCACCAAACAACAATAAGTGTGTTCACATCTTTAAACCTACCACCAACGTATTAATGACTACGGGTTTAAGGTAATTTAACATTTACAACCAACCACAAAAAAGTTTGCAACCAGTGTTGTTTCCTTTGCATTTGGGTTTGTTTTTGCGTCCATATATTCGTCGTGAACCTGCGAAAACAAAGTTTGAGTCAATCAAGAACCTTCACACCTATGGATGCACACCACGGTAAACGCGGTCGTGGACAATCACTTGCAACGGCTGACAGCTCCCGACCGAAGTCACCAGAATAGGATTATGCAGGTGGGTATATCGATTCCTTCGGTGATCGAGGTTTCTTTGAAACAGGGTTCCCACTGTGGAGTTTTGAACCTCTACGGGATTACAACTGCACCCCAATACAAGATGCTTGCCTGGGGAAGTATTTTGGAATTCCAGTTTCACTGTTTGCCAAACGAGTTCAGTGTGAACACCACTGTCGATGTGCTTTTGTGAAGGTCACAAAAGCCCAATCGGTTGAAATGCAGCGGCAATTCCCTCATGTCAGCGAGTCCCAAGTTAGGCATCGTTTGCAAAGTGAGGTTGATCAAATGACTCGTCGACTCATTAGGAACTCACGGATAGAGGACGCAAAGGCAGAGTCGAAGATACATGGATCGAACCCGGCATCTGCGATCAAGGCTATAATGGAGGATCCTGCACTGGTGTCGGACCCTGACCTTTCAGATTACTCAGACTCCGAGGTTGTTGATTTGAGCGAGGATTAGCAGACCTGGACATATGTATGACATAGTAAGCGTAGTCTTGTAAGATGGCATCGTCGAGCGAAAATAAACGACTTAGAAACTAACAGACCGTCATACTCTGCTAACCATTGCAACGGTGCATGCGTTAATGTCTTCATCATGTCCACTTTGTTGAAGGTATTTTTTTGGGTCACCATCCTCGACTAAAAGCTGTCTTATGATTTTTGTTGGTACGATGACAACGTAATTTTTTTGTGATGTCAATGATCGATATCAGAAACTATCATTAACCTATGTTTTGTTGATTACTTCATGTTTGTGAATCGTTCAATATGGACAATAAGGTTTAAGTGTCGGAATCATTGACTAGAATCACAAGCTGTAATTACAAACAAAAATTGCGCACAACCGGCCAACGGTCTCATACACTCTAACATCAATATGGGCACAAAATGTTTTGTTTTTTCAAACACAACGGTTGTGTGGAAGCATACCCCATGGGGTCAACCTGTGCATTAGCAATTTTTCTCCCATTGTGCATTGTTATGAACTAATCAGCTCCCCTTCAAACAAAAAAATATACAATAGACCATGCAGAAACAGAGTATTGATATTCATTAATGAAGAAGTCAGCACGATGGTGAAGAAATGTACCACGCATTCTATATCTGCTTTCAACTTGCTAACAGATAATAGTTGAGGCCACAGATAAGTGACAAACAGATACTAGTTGACAGATAACAGATTTGCCAAATCTGTTAATTACAAACAAACCTGCAACAGATAACAGAAGTTGTTCATTACAACCAAAATTCATGCACCCAGATAAGAGAACCTGCAACAGATCACAGGCCACAGATAAGTGACAATGCACCCACAAAATTCAGTCATCCACAAAGCATCCACAAAATTCATCCACATAGCATCCACAAAAATGAATCCACATATCATCCACAAAATTCGTCCACAGATCTACCAAATAGCATCCACAAAGCTCTTACAATGACACCAAGGTTTCCCAAAATTCATTACAGAATAACATTATAAGTTACATCATAATAACTTGTAAAATTCATTCTGTACATTCATTCCATAATAAAATTCATTCCACAAAGCTATTAAGTAAGTTACATAAGTGACATCATAATAAAATTCATTCCATAAACATTACTTACATCATGAAGTACAATACAACAAAAACTGGTACAAACTTCCATTCAATTTCCCAAAATACAAAGAAGTACAAAAGTTACATGATCAAGTACAAAATGATAGAAAATATAATGAAATACACCATCGCTTTGATAATATTTTCTATCCTTTCAAGCCTTCGACCATGGTCATTTCCCAAGTCATGAAGCCTCGTCCTTACATCGTTGAAGTGTTCTACTGTTAAAGCATCACCAGCTCTAGTGTTGGAAGGGATTCTGGACGTAACGTCTTCATCATCTTCAGCCACGAACTTGAAGTAATTGCAATGGGGAGTGGGAGTGGTACTCTACAATGCATGACAATCAGTTAGTTGAATACGACAAATATTACTGTGACTACTAAAGGATTAAAATTTCCAATACATACATATTTTGATGGGCAAACAAAGAACAAACGCCCTTCATTTCCATTCTCATTGTTCTGACAATACGTATGGCAGCGGTTCTTCCACAATTGCACAGGCTCATTTGTAATCTTATGTTGCTAATGTTAGAAGAAGAAGCCATTTTTTAAATCTGCATACATGAGAAATTTGTAGTGCTCTGCTATGCTTCTGTTTGATGGGGTTAATAGCAGGTATAGTTTAATTTAAGGGAGAGAGTGTGTCTTTACTGAAAACATCTATTTGTTCAAACTGCCATGTTTAATAGCATTTGCACAGAGGTTACACAGACTAAACTGTTAATAGCATTTGAACAAACATCGCAGCTCAATGTACACACATAGCATCTTGAAACTGAACAAATACAGCAGTTTCAAACATAGCATTTGTGATTAATTACACACATGTTACACACATAGCATTTTCAATCTCAACAAACATATCAGTTCAATGTCAAGTAAATTATCAATTACACATGTTAAACAACTATTATCAACAAATCATACTGAAGTGAAATGATTATGGGCAGATTGTTGGAGACTGTGATTCAGTAGTTATCAAACTGCAATAGTTATCAACAAATGACACGTGTGATTTTCAACAAAGCACACTGAAATACTTATCAACAAATCAGTAATAGTTATGAACATTTAAGTTCAGTTTGATAATAGTTACCAATGTTGATAATAGTTAATTCAAGTCACGCAGCTAACACATTAGTTGATAGCAGTTCATTACAACAATTCATGCGTGATTGACAACAAATTCAGCAAAATCACATTATCAATCACACATTGAAAATTACACAACTATATGCATTTGTTCAACTAATTATCAATCTGCATAATCATACTACGTTCTGCAAAGATATGATCCTTTCATTTTATGTTGGATCAGTTTTTGCGTATTCATACTACGTTCTGGAAAATTTATACTTTAACTCTAAAAGGTAAATGCATAA